TCTATACTTTTTACCACGTAGCTATTTATTATTAGCATTATTCTTCCGACGTCTGATTTCTTTTTAATTATAGGAAATGCGTTTTTCTAAGGTACATAAACTTGTGGGATTGACTGTATAGCCAATACATCCTTAAATGTAGCTGATTCTTTGGTCAGAGCAACTTTTATGAGCATTTGTCGCGATGAATTCATTCATACAAATGTCCACGTTTCTACGTTACACAACCCGGTGACTATCGACCGCAGTAATTGGCCTGTCACCGATATGTAACGATAGCACCCATGTGCATAATTGTATGGAGTACAATTGATGACAAGCATATGTTTGTCTTGATTCTATGTAAATGTTTTCGATAAGAATTAATGACGTGTGACTCACGTAACTTACTGAGAAATTACTGGTAAAATTTAATTACGAATATAAATAATAATCTAATCTTCATCCTTTGCCCAGTAACTAAAATACTAACTCTTTTAAAAACGAGGTCTTCGCATCAGAATCTATTTCATTAGACGCCACACTTTTACTTCTGCTTACAGAACTTCGAAATGGCTCCGACTATTTATTTGTCGGAGTTGCCAGCTGTGAGGAGAACAACGGTCCCGTGCTCGCATCGAAGACAAAGGATTATCAATGGTGCAATAGGTAAGCACCAGAGACTGGAAATCAGGCGACTGGAAACGAGCAACGCGCCTTTACGCAACGAAGTGTCTTTAACGCCGCCGGAAAGTCCTGTCTGGGAACCGGAATGCCCCAACGACTCCTACGCACCGACCATTGTCAGTTCTTCCTCCCCAAAGTCTGCCAGGATACCGACTGAAGTAAAAGAACATTGGAGAGCGTTCTTGGCAAAACGAAAAGGTGTGTTTCTTAATATGATTCATGAGACGTGATCCTCAATTGAGCTTGCAAAGAGATCAAACGCGAATGAAACTTGGAACTTTATAGGTCTTCTAAGCATTGCTATCCGTACGATGGCTTTGGTTCGACGAAACAATATCCTACAAGAAAGAGTAAACGCTTTGCGCGAAGAGACTCGAGATTTCATTCATTCAGTGTTAAACAATCCCGAGAACAAGTGTATACAACAGAAACTGGACTGTGGAGACGATGAGGAAGACGTGTCATCTTCGACGGAGAAATCGTTATCGCCTTCGTCCGCTTTGTCGTATTCGACGAATTCCCCGTCGAACGATATCACGTCGACGAGCGATAACAGCGAAAATGACACCGACCGATCCTTTGAAGACGACGAGGAGTCGTAATGTGAAAGGAAAAGAGGTAATTCGAACGATTTGACTCGCCCGGTTTATATTACGTAGCTCGTAAGCTCTGCGTCGTTTATCGTTCAAAATAATGATAAAGAAGTCGATGCAAAAAGATATGCACTTTTCCGTTATCGGTCTTTCCGGTGTTACACTTTGAAATCGCTTGAAGCATATTCCCAATGACGACGAAAAAAGAGGTCAAAAGCATTTCTACTTTACATATAAAAAGTATTTCATTTGAATCTACGTACATTCAAATAATTCACTTACATAAATAGATCCGTAAGATAGCCTTTTAGAAGATCGAAAAGAACGAGATAGGTTCATTATGACTAATGTTCTGGATATATATCGACATTTCGAATACTTGCGAAACATTTGTAATAAGTGCAAAACCGCTTTACACTTGACTTTATATATAGCGTCAAAGTTCTAAATGCAAAGCTTGTCTGCACGACGGTGCATTAGAACTAGAACCAAAATCGATTAGAATTTTAGGAGAAACTACGCCCTGTAAATTGGTGGCTGTGAAATTTGTATTCGCATTGTAATTTCGCTTCTTTCTTTTTAGTTTTCAAAAAGAACCAGCTCGAAACGAATGACTAAATTAGAAATTACGCGTATTTTTCGAATAAAACCTAAAGACGATCGTATCGCGTAGAATTAAATATAAGCTTGTTAAATCCAGACGATGGAAATGTTCGATGTTTATTTCTTTAGTTAGTTGATCACCATTCAAACAGCTGATTTATTTACTAGGAAGGTATTTAAAATTTGTGTGTACTTTAGGCTTGAACGATAATAATGATAACGCAGAATGTTATTATAACAAAATGTAAATGTGATTCAATTCGTTAATGAGATTATTATACCTTTCCTTTTTTACGTAACAAGCACAATCTAAAGAAATGAATCTATACAAATTGACATATGAAATATTTTTAATCTCGTCTTAAATGTATAATAAGAAGACGTGAGAGATAAGAGGTTCCGAACGTTTCCAGTAGCAAACCTCATTATTTATCAATCGTGATATATGTACATATATTATGCATATATTTTCACACACGTATGTAATTGGTAAAACGTACCCAATCCAAAAGCAATGCTGATCCCACTGATCTGTAAAGTAACTATGGTGATCGTGTGATAATAATAGTATTTCGAGAAATATCGTTTACGCAATCTCGTGCTGAATTATATATGTATATAAGTGATAAGGAATCTTTTCAGTTTGGATTCGTTGCCTCGGTATCTAATATTATCATAAGTAAAGCGAGATGAAATATCGTACAAGGAGGATATCGAATTCTTTCTTTACGAGATGTATATTTTTTTAATATCTACAATGCTGAACAGAATTTTTTTTGATTTCTTGATAATTAGAAAGGACAATCGACAAAACTAGAGGACTATCAAATATCTATACATGTACATACTCAATAATTCAAACGTTGAATATTCGTATTCACTTACCCGAATAGTCTAGAATTTCTTTTCGTCTGGATACATTTTTACCATCGGTTTGGGAAGATCGATGAATCATACAACTCGTGCCTAAAGTGTATGAACTACGTATGATATTTCTCGATTACTAAAGCAATATGTATAGTTGTAATAACTTATTCTACTTAAGCGATATTCTAAATATTATTCTACTATTAGTGAACAAGTGCAACGTTTCTACTAAAGTTATGAGAGGGAGAGATCGTCCTTACATCGTAACTATTTAGAATAATTTAGGTTTTTAAGTAATATTCTTAACAGCATTATAGCGATCTCATTATTTTTCACAGAGGCGTGGATACTGAATGAAAATTTAAATTAATTATTTTGAAATCGTTTATAGAAAACTTGAAACGATGTAATAATTGTTTATTCGTTTACATGCCTCTGTTTTCTCGTGGCATATCAAATATCTTTCGCTTAATAATCCGAAGCGATAAGAGCCGGTATAGTCGAATCAGGTGTTAATAATCATAGCGAAAAATGTAAAGATAGGACGAATAGTTGAGACTTCTTAGCATACGTCTAGAGTAATTTTGCGTTTTCTAACGACAGACATATTGTGAGTTGAATAAAAAACTAAATTCTGACGCATTATAATAAATCGACAAGAGTGTATCAAAATATTTTCGGCGAATAATGTTTTGATATTTACTTGTTAAAAGCATTTGAATTCATACGATTACGTTTGATTCTATGATATTCATCTTCAAGTATTTAGAGACAGTCGCTTGCACCAATCAGAATTTTATTGACATTATGATTATCGTGCAGAAAAATAATAAAATCGTAAGTTTCCCATTATGTTACTTCACTAAGTTATCCACTCGTTACAATATTCTTGAGAATTGTTTGCAATTAATATAAAGTTGTATATTAATTTTTTAGAACAAAAGTGTTTATTCTTCTCAACGTATTTGCACGTAAGAATTATTTATTTATTTATTTAGATTAAAATTAAATAAATAAATCATGTTTATTACCATTATAGTATTATATCCGTTTCCCTCTGTATAATAAAAAAATAAATGATACTTTGAATAAACAAAAATATTCCATCATTTGTTATCTACATTTCTATAATTTTTCTATGTATCACACTGGCCAATATGTATGTTCCATATGCATATCACTATTCAATAAAATGATTATTTAAATGTATATAAGAAAATTAATTTATGTATTTAGCAGTTATGATACACCATATAATATTTTATAAACAACATAAAAATGTACAGATCTCATGAGTAATCAACCATATGCACTACCCCAGCGTCGTATTTACAAAACTAGTCTAGAACAATATTTAACATTAATGAGCGTCCGGCGATTGCGATAGGAGAACGATAAGAACCCAAAATTGCAGCAGTGCCTGTAAACAATTTCCTTAAGCAAATATATAAATTACATTGAAAATATTCTACTTACCATGTAAATTAATACTAAAATCCTTGCAAGCGGATACCTCCTCAAAAATACGCCTGTACGTATACTGATAGCATCTAAGGAAGAATAGGCCCTTTTGACTCTTCTGGTAACTCCGGTATCGAAAGGAGTTTCTATCAGAAACGTCGGCACTTGCGCTTTAGCGTCGTCCGTATCGTTCATGCTGTTATACAAGATGGTGCGTCGACTATTCCTAAACTCGTGCTGTAAAATAAAATCGTTTTACACAGTTCGACACTGTTTTCGTGAAAAGTATCTTTATTTATCAACCAACTTCTATTTTCTCTAATTGTAGCCTTAAAGCGTTCCTCTCAGTCGTTAAGTTCTCCACTGCTTGCTGTTTTGAAACTAACGTCTGCGTGAGAGATGCCAATCTCGATTCTATTTCACTGCTCGGCGTTGATATCGCGGATAATTGCATTCGAAGCTTAGCGATCTCCGATTCACACTTTTGTAATTGGCTAGTGTAGCTATTACGCTGACGGATCAATTCGTCTTTTAACGATCTTATTTCCTGAAATAATAATCAACATTAATCAATTTCGCTCTGTAAAATAAATGCAAAACGATTAACGTACCTCCAAATGTAATCTTGCATCTTCTTCCGCGTCTAATCTCCGGCGTCTCTCGGTAGCAAGAATATCTTGAGCTTGAATATTCGCTTCGGCAGATTTCTGTCTCACTTTCTCTAGTTTTATATCAGCATTCATCAATTCCTCGCGTATTATCCGCAATTGCTCCGAAACCTGTTGATTCTCTTGTCTAAGTGTGTCGCGTTCTTGTCTATCAAAAATTCATTGAATAATTTCTTGTTTGTATTTTTAATTTACTATTATACGTACCTTAACTGGTCCAATTCCATGATCATTGTATCATCCTCCGTTCCTGTAGATTCATTGTTCCTCAACTCTGCTATTAATTTCTCCTTTTCCTGAAGAGTCTTCAGTGCTCTCGCTTTGTGTTGTTCTAGATCAAATCTAGTCGAGTTTAATTCCAATCTATTTCTTTCTAAGGCCGACTGCAATTCCGTTACTTGTTTGTATAATTGCATTTTTTCTTTGTACAAGGATTGTAATTTTTCATTCAAAATTATAATTTCCTTTTGATGATCCGTTTCCTGTTTCCCAAGTTGTACATTCTTTTCTTCTAAATCTTTCTCCACTTCTTTTAAATACCTTTTCATGTATTGATTCTGAGAGGATTGAGTCAGTCTGTTTGCTTCCACGTTCTCTTGTTTATCATCGTATTCATATTCTTGTGTAGTATCAAGTTCGCTCCTGAAAGTATCGTATCCTAAAATAAAGACAGAAACGTTTCATACTGCAGAATTCGAATCAACAACATAAACTCAAAATGTATAATCACCATTATTCAAAACAGTAGCGGAAGCTTGATTTTTTACCATTTCATTGCTTAATGTATTTATTATTTCATATTTTCCGACGTTATCATTTGCACCATCGTGTTCAAAATTATCTGGAACATCTACAGAAGTGTGTACAAGACCAGGACTAGATTGACCTGATGTCTGAATTGATAAATCCGATATAGAATCTGTAGAATCTGTTGGATGCTCAACCATGAGCGATGACGGTGTTGGTGGTGATACTGAAGCTTCAGCTGTATATCTTTTTGGACTTGTATTCAAATTATTTAAGAAAGTGAAAAGCTCCTCGTCTCTAGACACAACAGAACTCGTTGTCAACGACGGAAGATTTGGTGTTGAACGAACGTGAGGAAATTCTACCGATTCTGTGGTAGGGTTCGAAAGTGTACCATCTTGTGTGTTAACACTGAAACATATCAAATGCATTGTTGTATTTTAACAAGTTCAATTAAATACTCATAGAACGTAAGAGTCATTAGTTCAAGCAACAAACGATATCTTTTTACTCGAACAGACTCTGAAGTTCTTGATAATCAATTATTTTTTTTACCATGATTCAGGTGTACTCCACGTAACGTGTGTCAATTGAGATTGCGGTAATTTGTCTTTGTTTAATACAGCCGCGGTGTTTTTATCTATTTTATTTAGTAAGTTCTCCGCCTTGTCAGCGAGACCTGACAACCATGCCATTTTCGCTTAAAAAAAGGAAAAACAAAAGCAGCTACTTGTTCGAACTATTATGACGTTTGACACTGGCAATATATACCCTTAAATCTAGGATGACATAACCTAAAAAACGAGATCCTCTAACGAGAGAAAGCTGAAACCGTGGCTGAAACCTGAAACTAAACTTGTGTGTGTGAATTGTGAATATGTGCAGATGGCTCATTGCAATCTGAAGCATGTACCTGTTCCGGACTTTCTGGCTTCCCGACCCTTTTCGCACACACGCACAGAGAATATGTAGTTTCAACTAACGGAGACGGATGGAAAGCAAATTAAAGACAGAGAGAGAACGGATTAAATTTCCCATATATCCGTGTAAACTAAGTCTGGAATCTATATATACAATCGAGCAGGAGATTAATACATACGTACCACCAAGATTTCCAGATCTGTCGCTGCCTGTACCTGTCATAGTTCGCAACAACAATACCCATATATTTTCTATTAGGATAATGATACTATGTAATATTACATTTATTAATGACATTTATTTATCTTGAAACATCATTTATATAATATACAATGTAAGGGTTGATCATTTTTGAATGTATTTCTTCAATGTTCTCATTACTTTTTACAAACTATCCCAGATTACTAATAGCATATTTGTTTCATCTGGTAGAATAATATGAAATCTTAAGCAGCAGCTTTGCTAGAGAGACCTTCAAGATCTCTAATACATTGCAACAGATTTGCTTTTTCTTGTTCAGGTGTAATAGCTTTTAACACACTACTTGTGATCCATTGTACCATGTGTTTCTGAGACATTCTGCGTTCAATTAGATCTATTTGGGCATGATAGTCAAGGCGTCTCTTCACCTGCAAAGAAATATAATTCATAATAAATTAGATATTTATCTAACTGATATCAAAATGAATATGTTACCTCTGAGTAAACGTCTGCTAATCGTTTCCTGTAATCAGCTTCCAGCTGCATTAAGACATTTTGTTTTTTGATGTCGAATATCATGAGTTGTCCATCGGTACGCCATTTCTCCTTCTCTATTTCAGCAATATTATTTTTAAGCTCAGTTATAGTCTCGTCCTTAGAGACATTATATGAGTCTTCAAGATCATCAATCTGTTTATCTAAATAGTTCGCTATTTTATCTCCTGCTTTAATTGAAACATATACAGCAGCGAAGAGTATCGACAGTCCATTATAAAATTCGTGTTCTATGACATACCACTCCTTGGATAACAAGTACGTGGAAACAGTTCCCATAAATACATATGGTCCTAAACGAAAATTAATTACATACATGTAGGCAAAAGCTGAAGAGCATGCTTCAAATCAAATCTAAATCAATTTACCTGATACACCAGTTTTAGGATAAAAGAAGGTAAACCATTCTTCTGGAATAAATCCCAGCCTGACTGGAGGAGCTTCTACAGGACGTTTTGGACGTGGTGCATCACATGCTACTGCACTCGTTTGAATCCCACAAGAAGCCAAGGCTTTGACTTGTGAAGAAACTGTAAAAATATGTAAAAACATAAGAAATGAAAATACTTATTACACCTATTACTTGAGATCAGGATTAACCCAACAGAAAATGGAAGTAATCATAATTTAGCTTAGCACAGACCAGTTCCACAATTAATTTTAAATATACCATGCAAATTATAATTTCCATAGTTAAAATAAAAGAGATGTAGCATTATATTATTACATAATGGCAGCAAAATAATCGACGTAAGGTTGATAATGGAACATACTGAATATATGACCAGAATATATTTATGAAATTTCATACAACTGAGTAATTGGAATTTATTGTAATTAAATCACTTTTTACCGTTGCGAAAACTTAATCTCGACAACATTCTGTCCACCTTCCAAGGAGCACCACTAACACCAACACCTAACACCAACCACTTCCACAGACGGAGCAAGAGCAAGAGCCAACTGCAGGGCTCGGATATTTTATCCCGCACGGTTCGCTTCCCCTCTTTTTCGCCCGTATTTCGATCCCCACTACTATTCCCCTCATGCGTGCTCATGCGCGTTCGCGAAGCTCTCCGCAGCGCTACCGTGAAAATCACTGCATACCCCCACCAACTATTGGTCCCCACCATGGTCGCGTCGTCCCCACTTTCCGGCCGCGGGATAAAATATCCGAGCCCTGGTCCNCTGTTAAGAATATGGATAAGTATGAGACACTGAAGATATCTGTGCCAAAAGAATTTATTTATATGGTGCAGATGAATAGACCAGAAAAACTGAATTCACTCAATCACACTATGTGGAAGTACGTATCTTTACCAAATGTTCATTCATCTGATATTAGAAGAATGTAACATAAATTTAATTTTGATTATTGTACAGAGAATTCACAGCATGTTTCAATGAATTAGCCATAGAACCAGAATGCAGAGTAATAATTCTTTCTGGTGCTGGCAAGGCATTTTGTGCAGGTACTTCATTTCTCAAGAACTCATAATTTGTATAATTGACAAAATAATTTTAATATCAAATGAATTTCAGGCATCGATGTAAAGGGTATAATGAACATAGGCCAAGAATTAGCAGAACACGAAGATATTGCCAGGAAATGTAAAGTTTTACATTTGAAAATAAAAGAATACCAAGAGAGCTTTAATGCAATAGAAAAGGTTGACCACTATCATTTTTATGAAATATAATGATTTATACTATGTAACACGAATCATTGATAAGATTACTAATTATCTAAGAATTACCTTTCAGTGCCCCAAACCAGTGATTGCAGCTGTACACGGTGCATGTGTCGGAGCTGGTGTTGATATGATATCTGCAGCAGATATTCGTTACTGTTCTACAGATGCATGGTTTCAAATAAAAGAGGTGGACGTAGGTATGGCTGCTGATGTTGGCACGTTGCAACGATTTCCAAAAATCTTGGGTTCTGACAGCTTAGTTAGGGAGCTTGTATATACAGGAAGGAAATTTCTAGCTGCTGAAGCTTTGCAACATGGTTTCGTAAGTCGTCTTCTAGATGATCAAGAAAGGTACAGAAACATTTCTTATGTTTTCCACCGATGGAAATGATTTATTGTGTAAATGAGACCTTTCATAAATGAATTCATTTTGTTTTTTTTATTAGTTTATTGAATAGTTCAATGACTCTTGCGGAGGAAATAGCGAGCAAGAGCCCAGTCGCAGTGCAAGTTTCAAAGTTGAGTTTAACTTACTCAAGAGATCATACTGTCCAAGAGAGTCTGGACCACATCGTAAGTTTCAATATTTCTCCACCTGAAATTGCGCAATTATCTTATGTTAATTTTTATGCGATTTTTAAAATAGGCACTGTATAATCAAGCTATGCTGCAGAGTGAAGATTTTATAAATGCTGCTATCGCACAAGCTACTAAGGGTGACCCACCACTCTTTGCTAAGCTATGAGACTGCATAGTATTATATATGAAATACATAAATATTTATATATATACACAAGATGATGTTGAAATTTATACATTTTTATGTACAGACGATTTATATTTTATATTCGAGATATAATAAAGATGTTTCTTATTTTTATACAGAGATTCAAATACTAACACACGTTGCCTGTTCCCTATTTCCTTTACTAAATAGTTATATCAGTCCAGTGCAAAAATATTAAACAGTATAGTCCATGAGCAGACTTTCCAATCTACGTTTTTTGGGCATAGCTTCTAATCTAGCTTGTTCCATGACTTCAACAATATGATATACATTAAGATCCTCAGGTATTTTCACCTATAAACGGTGCATAAAAAGCATTCTCTATGTGCTTTCGTGCTAATTGACTGACTGAGAATCGTGCAGAACCCATCGTGCAGTATACGTACAAGTAGTAAATTGATATAATGTTCATAATTGATCCTTTTAGTTTCCGGATCGCACGCAATAGACATCATATTAGTTATTTCCTGTTTCGAGAACGGCTCTCCGAGTTCCATCATTGCCTTCTCTAATTCGTCACACATAATATACCCTTTATTATCCGGATCTAACAATTGAAATGCTTGAAACAAATCTTCCGGTTCTGCTGGTTTAAATCTGAACAAACGTGAATAAAAGTAGAAGCTTGGTCGGATTTCAGGAAGCATAGACTTACAACTCTTTTACCTGCCTTCATTAATAGCTTTGGACATGTATTCTAAAAATTTATTTAATGGTACAGTATTATTAAGAACATCTTCGACTTGAACTTGTATTTCTTGCAATTCTGCTTCAGTAACAACGCATCCTAACGCTCTAATCACAGTTCCTAAATCTCCGACATCTATTTCATCGCTTTTTGCAGTATCGAATACATCGAACACTTCACAGAGCCTCTTGTCTAACAATGACGGTTCCACAAGAGACACTACGAAAATAAGTATCATGTATATAAAATTTATATAATACATAAAGAATGTATTTGAAATCATACTTATCAATGATTGCCTTATAAATTATTCCGTACAACTACACAATTGTTTGATCAATATATCGCTGAAGTAACTATGTACATTAATCTCAGCACGAGATTAATTTATTGAAATCAATGATACATACCTCGTGAAGACTCAAGCCTTGTCATTCTTCGTTGAAGAATGCTTTGTCTAATAGATGCTCGACTGGATCTTGAAAGGTCGCGTGGTGTATCCATCGTGTAATAAATTTAATTAATCCGTTTTAAAAAATAATAATAAGTCATAAATATATAGCTGAAAATATTTCAGTCTTTTCCTTAGAAATTTATTACATAGATTTCCATGACAGGAAATAACTTATGAATTTAGCAAATTATAAATATAATAATATTTTTCAACTGTACAAAATTCATCGTGTTCAATACACGTACACTGATTACATATACATTAATTACTCGTATGATTCTTGATTACTATTATCCACTTCCAACTATGTTCATATGTTTCATACACAAGTTCTCGGATACATATCTCTCATTGTCAAAAAATATAAATCTTTGTAAAATAGAAATAGCATTCTATAAATTCAATATTCTCTACCTAAGAGACGAATATATTTATACATAACGGATTCCTCGCATGGAATGTTCTTAAAAGTGTGCTGTTTGACGATCTATCTCAGTAAGGTCTTCTATTATTTCCTGTACACGAGTCCCAATTTTCTTTGCTATGTCCAGTTTCTCATTGTTAGGTAAATAGGGGTACCGCCAAACTAAATCACCGTCAATGATACCTCTCGCAGGATTGCCCTGAGTCCGAACGTGGCTTTTGTAAGTGCTGTAAAAAGAAAACGTTACGATCGATATCTGATATCCGATTCGAGCAAATTCCTTTCAACACAATAATTACCGATACGCTTTGGGATTTAAACCAGCGATGTGGCAAATATGCGTCACTAAAACATTTTGTAACATAAGCAATCTTCTGTACGTCTTTTCTGGTACGGGTAGAACATAGCCAAGACTACCGTCGAGCGATGCTATTAAAAAATAAATAGAATTAATAATACATTACATACATTATCATGGATATTTAAACTAAAAGACAGTCATTGTCTAAATTCAACTCACCGTACATGGTAACGTGCCTCTTATCTGCTCCGGAGAAATACTTTTTGCTATTTGCAGGATCTGTAACTCTGCACTTTATACGGAAAAATGTATTTACTTTTTGCCCTAAATGGAAATCGGCTTTTCTGATTAACTTTTGTCCCCCTAGACTTTCTCGCGACTCTGGTTGATACATAAATAAAGCTATATTACTTTCGCCATCCGCCACGACAAATCCTAAATTAGAATTGTCAATTAAATACTCGATAGTATAAACTTCCGCAGGCCTGAAATCCTACACAAAATATCTTCATTTAGAAGTTGGATATTTAAAGAGTATAATCATAAGAAAAGTTTTACTTACTCTACTGACGAGTGACAAGGTTCTATATTCTTCTTGAAACCTTAACAAACTAATAGATTTATATACATCAGCTATTAAGATTAAGCTTTTGATGCTCAACATCTGGTGAATGTAAATCTGCGTGTCTATGAAAGCAACTCCAACCAAATCGTTATCCTTCAATTGCCAAATATAAATTTTTTGACCAACTGCCGAGACCAGGAAACCGGACACTTGCGTGATGGCAGTTATCGGACCTTTTTGCTCCTTCGCATAAATTTGTTTGAACCTATTTTTAGTTAACGGTTGACCAGGTTCAGGTACAACTTCGATTATATCAAATATAAGAATCCGTCCTCTACTCGTAATATCTTCACCATAGTTGTAGTTCGTTCCCAATACTATGTAGCCCTTTAAACCGGACCGTGTGCCTTCATACGCCAAAGAAACGTTCTTTAAACAAGTAACGTGTTCCCACTGATCGAGTTCGATTTTAGTGTTGGGAATAGTTTCCCATGATACAGGCGAGAACAATACTATAGAGAATTGTTCCTGAGAAGGGTAAATAAATCTGTCTGATCGTTCTTCCTCCGTGAACTCCTGCAAAGACAACAATAAAAATTGTGCCCCAAATTTTCACAAAAATTAAGTTTCTTTTAAAATATAATTCATACCTTATCCTCGCCATTAAATCTGTAGTAACTTTTTAATGGTTCAGCTATACTCGTTATAACACAATAAGTTTTACTTTCTAAATGATATGTTACAAAATGAGGGGTACACCGTAACGGCACTTTTCTAACAGGCCATGGCGCATCGTACGATAAATGAGTCGGTAAAACGCATATCCTCAATTCCTCCTAAAAACAAACGGAAAGAACATAGTCACAATGATAAGAGTATGAGTAATAAGTTACATACCTTCCTATTGAAGTACAGAAAACCTTGGGGACAATTTATATTATTAAAAGGTGCGAATGAAGTAACGGGACCGTCGATACCCATCGGATGGGTACGTAGTTCGCCGCGTCCTGTGAGAAATATCCAATGAGGATAGTCGCTGCAAATAAATACACCATTGTATCCAGCGATGTTACTGAAGTAACGCATCATGCAATGCCGAGTTTCGCTCATCGTCGCCATGTCCTCGTCTTTCGTCTTTAGTCTGTAAATTACGTTCACGATTAAACATCTCAGAAATCACAATGCTACGATTTACAAATAAACGTTTACCTTATATTTCCTGGTATTATGCCATGGTCTAATTTTTTAAATCTTAATTTCAAATGACCCTTCGGATACTTGTACGCTTGATAAATTTGAAGTTCGTTGTCGAGTCGTACCAGAAGCATGGGTCTGTTTCCATGGTGACCCAACGCCACCATCAAAATCTCACGTACCTAAGACATACGAACATTCAATTAATCTTACTCTTCTACCATGAAACAAAATTCATTTCATATATTATAGATACCTGCATTTCAGGATTGGGAATTTCATTGACAGGCGTTGTTTGCAGGGTAGTAGATTCCATACTGTCGTGTAATACATATTGCCCGAATCCAAAATTGCGGATAAGATAGGATAAGCGTAAATCGGGAAGAGAATAAATTTCTAACGTTCCGCTGTCTCTGTACACCAATAACCAATATGTTGGTTTTATTTCTTGTAAATGTTTCTGCCACCAAGGAGCTTTTTTAGACATTCCTTCGGTGGATTTAGTCTGCGAAGGCACAGGCATTTGAAAAGCTGGTGCATCGCCGTATAATAGATCATCCTCGTTATCGATATTGGCAACAATCGGTGGTTCTTCTACGTTAAGTTCCTCTTCAGGAACTTCATCTTCTATGTTCTCAGGTAACTGAGTCGTGAATATTCCGCTAACATCTCTGTAAGCACATAGCGCTTCTATTTGAGGCCGCTGCAATTGAAAATTAAGTTGTAACGCGACAATACATGTACACAATATACGCGACGATATGATTCGTTTCATTGTTAGCTTACGAATAGTAAATTCGCCGTTTGAGCATGCAACCTCGTAGCTCCACGTCCTTCTCTAAGGGTCAGTAACATAACTTGACCATCCTCGGAAAGTAACGTCACGTAAGGATCTGCGCAACTGGCATGGACAATTGGACATCCGAGATCAATGGGCATGTGTTGAATCTATAAGCATTTAAAATTTTTACTCGACTGTATGCAGAAAAGTTGAATCTTATATATACCTGTTCAATTCCTTGTAAGAGGCGTACGCCCATTTGTGTGACCTGAACGATATATCTGTTCGCACCAAGATTCCCAGCAAACACTGTACTTCCTTGTGTACTAAAACCGCTTTGATCCACTTCGTTGATTTCTTGACCGGTTTGTAAGATCTAAGTGTACATTATAATAATAAGTACGATGTTATAATTAAGTATAGAAGTGGGATATGAAAAAGATATAATACCATTGTTGAATCTTCTTGACTTAAAATCAGGAAGGCATGACTTCCTTCCGCTTCAGGCCTTATTTGTTCATCGTTATTTAACGTACCAATTACCGTCCACATATCTTCACATCCTGGTAGTTCGAACGTAGTTACAACCTGCAATAAATTTAAGTAAACGCATGATCATCGTAAAATACAACGAAGTATAAAAGAGTTTCTTACTTGAGGCCGGATACAACGCTGAAGAACACAGAGCGCACCGTTTTTACCATATCCAGAAGTTGTAACAAGTTCAACGTCAGGATCCTGATTATGTGAGAATTCTTCCGACAGAAAAGCTGGTTCACCCATAGATATGTTACCGCACGGTCCAATATTCAATAAACTGTCACATACCTAGTTTAAATATATACTGATAATAAATATTTTCTTCGTATGATAGATTAAAAAGAAAAATGAAGGAATACCTCGAATATGTACGATGTAATTTGGATCGATGTATGCGTTTCACTTCCGTATACTTCTAGCTCTTCTGGGTCTTTTATGTCCAACACATCAGACGCCATCCAATCTCCTATAAAATCTTGTTTCATCTTTTTCGCTGGAATTTCTTCGGTTTCGTTTTCTTCGAGAATTATCTCGTTGTCATTTGTATTTTGTAAATTCTCCGGTTCCTTCTCGGTAAATCTTAGCAACAGTGAGTTACCGAGACGCGAACCGAGAAACAAATAATTATCCTCGCACATGCATACCTGTTAATATTTGTATTACTTCACGGAGAAATAAAATGATATAACAAAATGTTAATTAACTGTACTTACACATGATGTTAAGACACTCGCTGCAGCTTTGTCAAAGTGAAAACCTCTCACTGAACGCATACTGTCCGCAAACAGAGACAATACATACAACTCTCCACTTTTTAATGAAATTACTAAACGATCCGAAGATATAAATGCAACCTGAGAACCCTCTAAACTTATTTTCACTCCTTCTTGCGGCTCTATAATTAAAAGGTATTAATAAATTCTATTCATATACTCGTATGAAACATATTATTTAATACTAACTTAATGGAAAATTCGTACTGGTTTCCGCTAAACTATTTAACGATACTCCGTAAGGTGGTATGCTCTGATTCAAATAAATGAGAGAATTAACTGCCATGATTAAAGTTCCACCAAGTGGTTTCTTCACTGGTACTGCTTGATAGCAATCAAACGGCAAGTTTGATACAGACCAAATTATAGGATGTACTCTCTGCTGAATATTTAATGATATTGCAACCATGGCACAAGTGTCTTGCCTAACTGCAATTCGTCTAAAATTACACGTGACGGTTATTTAAGAAACCATTATATTAGAGAATGATAATCAAAGGGAACAGACATACCCAGAGAACGTTCTCACTGGTTCATATAATATTAGCAACGTCGGTTCGTAGTAACCATGTAAAAATTGTAAGTCTATTACATTGTCCATTTTCTCTTCCAAACTCTTTAACACGATCATATACGATGATAATATAGGAGTTTTACTAGATGATACTTTTGCATTATCTAATAGATCACCATCATCGAGGCTCGGATCCTTTTTAAAAGGCAGTACCACTAATTTTCTACCGTATATTAACATTACTGCACACCTGCCTTCAGGATCTACTCTAACTATAGGAATATGGTGATGATTCGTCCATCCATCCTACAAACATGAATAAGACATTCAAATCGGTTTTATTTATAAAGTCTTATTCAAGTACTTCACTATAAAATACCCGTATTTCTTCTTCTTCGAAGTAATGCAAGGATACTGTTCTAAGATCATGAGTATCTTGCTCATATTCTACAACTGATAACTTTGCATCACGGAAACTCAATAAGAGAGAATCTCTTTGGGATCCAATAAGAGTTACAGCTTGCATGGACATCACGTTCCCATGTAAAGTGTACTGGGACAAACATTCCAACTTCATCTTCGGTGGGCGTGACTCTAAAGAAAGGATCGATTTTATGACTGACACTTGCTTTTAATTCGTTTACTACATAGAGTTTAAGTAATGTATGATCAAATATACCTGTGTACTTCTCTTTCTTTGTTATATCCACATCGGGAATTAAACGAAACACTCGGATAATATTTGCGCCGGCTACCACGAGACATTTTTCCGTACGATTAAAGAAATAGCACGTTATCGCATGTTCCACTCCCGTAGCCGGGTGGGTACTTTTACATATCGAAAACATTTTCTTATAACGTTACAAAATCATATTCTATAAAAGTTTATACAAATTTCCTCGCTGTATTGTCATGTGAAGTTATTTATGTTACTCTGGTTACTCTTGCTTACAGGTTCTTCCACATGAAGTTTAGTATAAAATGTAGCCAGTGTTAGGAGAAGAAACTCACTGCAAACTGCAAAAAGGACACCATGAATGACCACAGAGATCCACGCGTGTGCGGAAGGCAATAAGGCATCCATGAATCTAGGGCGGAAGGTGTGCCTCTCTACAACCATTCTTATTGTATGTTTAATCCATATCCATATTCATATTACAATTTCATGAATTTTATTTCGCAAAGGTGTCGTATTTTCCCGATGGTTGTTGCGTATTTACGGATTTAAATATACGTTACGCGAGAACGTGGACGTGCATTTTGTAGAGATTTTTCTTATATCGCCTTATGCGCTGTGAAATTTCGGAATATCTTTTTTATCATTTGTAATATCTGAAAGGTGGTTCAATCTAGGGTTAGCGTATTTGTGGATCGGGCTGGTTCATGTTTGAGGACAATGTCGTTATTTAATAAACCGAAGAGAAACATCCGTCGTCGGCCTTTCAACGACGACGACGAGGATAATGAAAACAGGATGGAAGTGGAGGACGCCCAGCCTGTAAAGTCGAAGGCAAAGAAGAAGGAAAAGCCAAAGCAGACGCTCCTCAGTTTTGGAGAGGAGCTGGAAGAAGGTAATTTTTCCAGCATACATGCATACACGAATCACTAATATTCATTATAAGCCCGACATGTTTCATAAGATTTCAATAATTTTTTAAGCAGGTTTGAAGTATTGAGAGGGTAGAAATTTTTATGTTCTTTTTATCTACAAAAAGCTATAACATCTAATATCGTGTTGTCTTGCAGCGGATGATGGGGAAGTCTTTAAAGTGAAGAAATCATCGAGGAGCAAAAAATTGATGAAACAACTTGATCACGAAAGGAGAAAAAAGAAAGGTGAAGAGAAAATGCAAGTGGACTCTGAGCAAGCGAACATGTCCATTAAACAGGAAAAAGATTTAGAAATAAAGACAGATGATCTAGTAGTAAGCTATCTCTGTGATGTTTATTATTATTAGAATTTCTCTCAGATTTATATATCATTCTTTATACCAAACTCAACATTTCATTTCTGTGCTTAACATTCATTGAAAGTATGATAAAAATTGATAACATATAAATACACTTTATTTTTATGTATTATATATACAGTAAAATATTCAAACGTTTTAAATTGTACACGAAACGTGACTCCATTAATACGATGAATAAGTAGAACGCAAGGACAATATATTAGAATATAATTGTATTACAATATAACATTAATCATCATGTAGGAAACTTTTACACTACACTGTAGCAATATTTTATTTTTGCAAGGCTATAACTTACGGGATTATATTAGTATAACATATCTACAATTTTTTTAATACGAATAAGAATGCTTATAATAACTGTTGACCAATTAATTCATTATATTCTTAACTATTTTATCGGGAATCGTACTAATTAAACATCTTTTATTACCAGGTTAAAATAAAGAATACTGGCCCCTTGATTTTAAATGGACGAGCTGCACTGGCAGCAGGAAAAGATGATTATACGTCAGATGAAGAGGAAGACGATGCACGCGGTCATAAGTTCAGGAGGAACACCGATAAAGCTGATACAATGAAAATTCTTCTTGAAAGTATGTAATTATTTTAATAGCGTTTCACAACCACTTTCTATATTATAATCAATGTTATTTTTCTAAAAGGCGGTTGTATCCCGGATGCTGCAATGATTCATGCTGCTAGGAAATGCAGACAGAAAGCAAGAGAGTTGGGAACTGATTATATTCCTATTGAAGAACAGAGGTAATATTTTTTATATACAACTGATGCATTATTAAAATTTATTTATCGTGCCAAATATTTAGCAAGGATATTACTGTTTCTAGTGAAGATAAAGGCAAATCGAGACTTATCAGAGAAGAGGATCATGATAGAAGCGATGACGATGATTCACAGGATCGAATTGATATGACTGTTAACACTGAAGCCCGCGATAAAGAGAAAAGGAGGGAAGCATTTCTTGCTTCTCAAGTTCCAATAAAACGTTAGTTTTTCATTATTACTTCATCTAGATTTAATTTTCATATAATTATATCGAATATCTCTACTTTTCCAGTATCTGACGACGAGAGTGAACATGAAAATGAAGAAGAAGAATGGGAAGCTCAACAAATTAGGAAAGGTGTAACTGGTGCACAGGTAACGTGCTATTTCTACTTGTAAACTCTTGGTAATTCGTAATAGATCTCATCAGAATTACATTTACAATGGAGCAAATGTTTAGATTGCAGCAGCACAGCAAGATTCTATGATGCAACACCAATATTCAATGGGTATGAACATGAATCCAATGATGGGAAGTGGAATATCGTTGGAAATGGTGATGATGCCAGCTCCACCGCCTCCTCCATCGATTCAACCACCAGACCCAACAAAAATAGTACCGATCACTCCTCAAGAAGTTGTTAATAAAATGCGAGCAAGGTGGTAGAAACTAAATTCAATTTTTATAATTCAATCTTTTTCCAGTGTTCTTCAAATAGAAATATTATTTGTAGATTGGAGAGTTTGAAAGAAGTATACCGGCGACATCAGTTAGATCAGGACCGCTTAGAGCAAGAGTTAGGACAGACAATGAAAGAACTGGACGATGGTGAAACACGTGCACCGCAGCTTGCACAACGCTTCAGATATTACCAAGAGTTGCGTGGGTATGTCACTGACTTGGTAGAGTGTCTTGATGAGAAGGTGGGTTTATACGCTGTCACGTTTTTTTATGTGCACTGGGGTTTTCCATGCAATTTTCGGCTGTTCAATTATTCAGCCACATAGAAGTAATGCATTTTTCTTATTAAATGAATTGTAAAATGAAACAGGCTCATTTTTCATATAGATATTGTTCTACATAATTACGTCTTCAAAATGTATTACAATAATTATGTTTAAACAACGATCACTTTATTATTTATACAACTTTCTTATTCCGTATTAGATGAAATTATATGTTAATATTTTATTCGTACATAAAATATTTAATCGAAGAAAAATGCATATTGAAAAATAAAATATATGGAAATTAGAATGCATAATGAATATTTGCATTGCCGGGGGTCTGTGTATCTTCTCTGTATACAAAAAATTATTTTACCATGTAGTAAACATTATTTTAAATATTAATATGAATTGAAAAGACAAATTATTTTTTGCGGTGAGTAAACTAATATTAATTTCCAATTTTCTCAACGAAAGATATTCAACGGCTGAGGAATTGCAGATTTAGTTGCAGAAAATGTTACGAACACGTTATCTTTTATCATTTACAAATGATTAAAGCCCTTATATTAGATATGAGAACATTTTCTGGAATGAAAATAATTCCCAAAGTCATTGAGTTAATTCAATGTGTGAATGTTAACACGTAACTTTTTTGTTAGCTGCCGCTGGTCGTTGGATTGGAGCAACGCTGGTTAGAACTTTATAGTGAACGTACAGTTGAACTAATGGAGAGAAGACGGCAGGATACGAGGGATCAAGCGGAAGAAATTACAACAGCTGCAAGTCAGTTATTTTAGCATTAATTACGTACAGCTATTCGTTCTTAACTTAAATAACTCTTTACCTTAAAAAATTGCTTCTTCAATTAATATACAAAAACGAACTGCTTTGAAAATTACAGGAGGGCAACCGATACGTAGAGGACCGGAGATTGAAGCTCGTATTCGTCGAGCCACGGAAAGAGAAGGAAGAAGAGCTCGTCGAAGAAGAGCCAGGGAATTAGCTCCCACATTGCCAAAACATATCGATGGAATGTCTAGCGACGACGAAGTTACCGAACAACAAAATCTTGCGTTTAAACAAACGAAAGGTTGCATTTTAAACTATTAACTTCACGCGTTTATCGTACGTTGCAATTTTAACTGTGTTCTTTATCTTTAGACGAGATCGATAATGAAAGTAAGGAAATATTTTCTGATGTCATGGACGAATATTGTACAATAAGAGGAATACTTTCGAAATTAGAATCTTGGAGGGAAACTGATAGAGATGCTTACATGGAGGCTTACGTCTCTCTATGCATACCGAAAATAATTTCTCCTATCGTTAGATTGCAATTGCTTACGTGGAATCCTATTATGGTACGTTAACAAACTTTTATACAAATAACGTATTTGAATGATTATGATTTATGATTAATGTTTCGTTTATGCAGGAAAGCGCAGACATTGAAAGAACAAAATGGTACAATACGTTGCTTCTGTATGCATTAGATAATAAAGAAACGGAAGAATCATTGAAAGCAGATCCGGATGTGAGATTGGTACCATACACAGTTGAAAAAATTGTTTTACCGAAATTGACGTGTAAGATCATTTTACATACCATGATTAAGATATTATTTGAGAGCCGTATACTAACATAAATATTTTTCTCTTCTACTTACAGCTATAGTCGAACGAATATGGGATCCCATGTCCACGTCACAAACCTTACGACTTGTAGGCACGGTGAATCGCCTGATTAGAGAATATCCAAACTTAAACGATACCAGTAAACCACTGGAAACGTTATTTAATACCATATTGGAGAAAATAAAATCAGCAGTCGAAAATGATGTTTTCATACCAATTTTCCCGAAGCAGTCAGTATATCTTACATACATCCCTTCTTTTAAATATTTTATGATGCACTACAATTGTTAATTTCATGTTTTAGAGTGCTGGACACTAAGCATCAATTTTTTCAACGACAGTTCGCAATGGCTGTGAAGCTTTTGAGAAACTTATTAAGCTGGCAGGGTCTCCTTGGAGATACGCAATTGAAAAATCTAGCGCTTGGTTCATTGTTAAACCGGTACCTTCTAGCGGGTTTGAGAGTATCCGTTCCCACTGACGCTTTATTTAAAGCAAACATGGTACGTTGATATTTATAGATATTTAAATGGGAGACTGGAGTGTTTTTTTTAATGATATTTTGTGACTGCAGGTAATGAGCACACTTCCCCGTGCTTGGCTGCAAGGTGAGACGATAGAACATCTTAGAATGTTTGCTACACTCATTCAACAACTTAGTGAACAATTGGATCAAGCAAACCCAGCGCATAAGTAAGTAAAAATTCTATAAATTCTGTAGTTTGTGTTGTCTTGCGCTTATCTGCGTTAATAGAAGAAATCGCGATAGACAGTAAAAGTTGCTTTTAATATTTCGATATTATGCACGATATTAAATTACGAATCGTGATATCTACAAATTACATGTTAATTATTCACTTTTACAGCGAAGCCTGGGAATATTCGAAATCGATTTTGAAAATAATCAAACCATTATAATAATGTATCACATATATATGCATTTCTTAAATAATACTTGCTGATATTTTTATTTCATTAATAAACGTCTGCTTATAGTTTTATACGCATACTGAAAAACTCCTGTACATGGTAAATTGCAGTACAATTAGACATGTAATATATATACATACATATATATATAAAAGTGTAATTTTGTATAGAAATAAATTAAATAAGATTCTATAATATAGCACATTTTCCACTAATGTAAATAAATAAATCTAGAAGTTATGTTGAAATAAATATGTAAATATGAGATTGTGTTGAGCTTTCCTACTGCAGAAAATAAATTTCATATTTTTATTATAAAGCATTCAGTTTAATTTTCCTTCCAGCATTAAATTATCTATTCTTACTAGTGCGTATTAGTTGCATGCTTCACATTTTGTGATTGATACTAATTGGAAGAATTTAAGTATATAATCAATTAAAATTAAATTATTACGATATTTTAAGTTATTATTAGACAAGTATTTAAGGAAGATCGAGCATTGCGTGACTTCCACATCACGTAAAAATACACCGAGAATATGTAATAGGTTGATTTATACGATTGAAGATAATTTAGGCAGGAGATAAGTTTTACTAACACAGATGGTGAAGACGTGTCCATGGGTCACAGCGATAGGGACAGCAAGGGTCATCTCGTGACTTCTATGAACTCAGTTCATTTTTGTTAAGCTACCATCGCACACCATGAGACTCACAGGTACTGAATAAGCATTATTATTTACAATTATCATTAACTTTGTACTAAATTGTCATCAAGCATATTTTTGCTATCAATTAATAAATAAATCTTTCTTAATTCAAGCTTTCAATTGCTATATTTATCGATGTTTGATATAAAAAAATATTTACTACGTATTATCTTCATATTAAAAATACATATATATGCATTTCTTAAATAATACTTGCTGATATTTTTATTTCATTAATAAACGTCTGCTTATAGTTTTATACGCATACTGAAAAACTCCTGTACATGGTAAATTGCAGTACAATTAGACATGTAATATATATACATACATATATATATAAAAGTGTAATTTTGTATAGAAATAAATTAAATAAGATTCTATAATATAGCACATTTTCCACTAATGTAAATAAATAAATCTAGAAGTTATGTTGAAATAAATATGTAAATATGAGATTGTGTTGAGCTTTCCTACTGCAGAAAATAAATTTCATATTTTTATTATAAAGCATTCAGTTTAATTTTCCTTCCAGCATTAAATTATCTATTCTTACTAGTGCGTATTAGTTGCATGCTTCACATTTTGTGATTGATACTAATTGGAAGAATTTAAGTATATAATCAATTAAAATTAAATTATTACGATATTTTAAGTTATTATTAGACAAGTATTTAAGGAAGATCGAGCATTGCGTGACTTCCACATCACGTAAAAATACACCGAGAATATGTAATAGGTTGATTTATACGATTGAAGATAATTTAGGCAGGAGATAAGTTTTACTAACACAGATGGTGAAGACGTGTCCATGGGTCACAGCGATAGGGACAGCAAGGGTCATCTCGTGACTTCTATGAACTCAGTTCATTTTTGTTAAGCTACCATCGCACACCATGAGACTCACAGGTACTGAATAAGCATTATTATTTACAATTATCATTAACTTTGTACTAAATTGTCATCAAGCATATTTTTGCTATCAATTAATAAATAAATCTTTCTTAATTCAAGCTTTCAATTGCTATATTTATCGATGTTTGATATAAAAAAATATTTACTATGTATTATCTTCATATTAAAAATAAAATATAAAAAAATTCTGTTTACAGATACTAATCATGTGTTAGGAGCATTGAACAAAATTGTATTACTGTTTTTATTCTTCTGTAACGTTCACATTGCAAATAGTATATTTCAATCAGGGAAAGAATACGTGTATTCCTATGATGCATTTTCAAGCTCTGGCGTTCTGTTACCATCCCGTGCATCATCTTCGTGGGGTTTCAATGGAAAGCTCAAAGTCCAATCAGAGCAAAATGTTGTTACGATGCAGGTATTGTTTGCTCATAACACTTGATGATATCAACAGGCAAGGTATTGAAACTTGTTCAAATTACTTGTTATTTTCATGCAGTTGGAATCATTGAGAATGAACGTATGGAATGGTAAAATAGATGACCAAGGAGAGAGTCAATACGTTCCTGAAGATGTGACAGATCTTTTGAAACCATTTCAACTCGTCTATAAAAATGGTTTTATCGAAAATTTTAGCACAGAAGCTGTGTCTCCTTGGTCGACGAACATAAAAAGGAGTATAGCAGGAATTTTGCAATTAGACTTGTCTACTTTACAGAAGGAAACAGCATTTCATTCAAACGAAGTAAGTTTATTTCGACAGAAAGGATTAACTATAAGAAAATATGAAGCCTATTTTAAATCTTGATTTGTAGAGAAACCATTACGGTCAATGTAACATTGAATATGTGGCTAATTCTGAAGAAGAAAACGAGTTGCTGATAAGAAAATTTTTCGATCCCCGAATTTGCATTGGCCATCCCAATTACTTTTGGTCGAACGTTCCTAAAATCTTATGCCCAAACGGGGACCAAGTATGTATACACCTGTATGCAAGAATTAAGTAATTGATAATATAAATAATAAAAATATAACACATGTATTTAGAATCCATTAATGAAGTCCAGCGAAAGATTGTACAAAGTAAAAGTGAATGGGTCTATAAATGAGATTTTATTTGTTAATGCTACTGGAGGTATATATCTACAACCTTTCCAAAGTTTTGGAGAAGCACAATTTCATTTCACGCGGTACGTATGAAATAATACTTATTGGTATTATAAGGAGAACCAGAATTTTTTCATATCACTCAAAATACTATCATGTGTTCTTTTATTACTTCTTGGTATATAGACAGATCTTTAAATTAATTTCGGTGAAAGACACAGTGGATAAAATACCTGTTAAAGATTTATACTACAAAGTTCTACAACATGAACTTCCTGAAATTGATCTTACGCAAGGCAGAGGTACTCCTGATAAGAGCATTGTTATCAAATCTGTAAGTTATTTATTTCTTGAATATACTAATACTAATAATGTGTTTTATTTATTGATAATAATTTGTATTTCATAGATAGGGACATTATTAGACCGATTAAGTCAAAGGCTTGAAAATCCTGGTTTAGATACGGAAACTGATAATCTGCATAATACAACGATCAGCGTGTTACTTTACTATCTGGGCATGTTAGACATAGTCGACTTGCGTAATTCTTATACAAGAATTTCGGGAACAAGTTATAAAGAGGAAACAATAAGGTGCGCAAGAATTCTATTAATATTGACACGATCTTTTAATAGAACAAAACTAAATATTCTTTTGTTTCATTATAGAAATATGTTCCTTGAAGCTCTCCCTCAAGTTGGTACAAAAGAGGCTGCCTTGTTCATACTAGAATTAATTCAAGATAAAAAAGTATCAGATATGTCTGCGATTCAGCTTCTCACTCAATTACCGTTTCATATACGTAAACCTGATGTTCAGTTATTAGTAAATTTACAAACGTTTTTAAATCTACCAGAGAAAATTTCTATGGAAGTTCAGAACACTGCCATCCTTGCATATGGCACACTGATTTATAAAACTTGTTTATTATACTGTCCTTATGAAATGTTGGACGATTATGTACGTTTGTACCTTGATAAATTCACAGGTACGTGTCTAATTCTATTTTTATCATGATTACTCTATTATTGTGGCAATAAATGATTTATAGAGACAAAGGAATACGAGAAGAAAATGATTTGGCTCGAGGGATTAGCAAATATTCAATTAGGTAGAGTGGTCGAATTTTTGGAGCCGATCGCAAGTGGTAGTAACGCGGAATCGCGTCACTTTCGCGTTCTCGCTGCATGGGCATCCCTTCCAACTGCTCCTTTAAGGCCTGACGTTGTAAGTACGATCACATTCTGTACTAAATAAAATTATTGAGCATCGGTTTTCCTAGATCTATCCTGTGTACTGGCCAATCTTAGTTAACAGAACTGAGCATCTAGAGATGAGAATAGCAGCATTGACACTGCTAATAGTTTCTAATCCTACTCCAAGCAGACTCATAACACTGTACTGGTACATGCAGAGCGAACCCAGTCAACATTTGTACAATTATTTTTATACTATTTTAAAATCGATGGTTCATACTACTCACCCGTGTTACGTTCATATGTACGTAGAACAGTAATTCATATTCTCTGTCGCAATCTTAAAATATTAACATGATTTAATCTGTAGAGGCGTGATAGCGGCACAATTCACTCGAGTACTTCGACCACCAGGAAATAAATATTTAATCACCGGAAATTATCTATTTGATTATCAAGATACATATAGAAAATTCGGTGCTATGATACATGGTATTGTCATCGCGAATCCTTTAACGAATATACCTGAAGTATTGTATGTAACAGTGAACACGTACGGAAGTGGAGTTAATATAAATCACGTATCTGTAAGTATTAATTATGCACTTGAGACAATATTCAATTAATGTTATTATCGAACTGGCATTCTTTAATACTTTAAACATTGTGTACATGTAGTTATATATTAAAGCTGAAGGTCTTCTTCATTCGTTGTCCACACATCAAGATGGGCCGACGCAAGTGAAGGATATATTAAAGCAATTTAAGGTAGACCCGAGACAAACCGGACCTGTGCACTTAGAAATAATCGCACGCATTCAAGAGAAAACGGTTTTATGCCTTCATCTTAACGAAACGAATCTCATTAAAGGATTCAAATGTACGTTATTCCGTACGGATTGAGACGAGTACCCTCTTCTTATTTTTAATATAATGTTTTTAGATCTCTCCTCTTTGCCGGATAACGTGTATCACATATATCAAAATATGGAGTTTCACGTTAATCAGCAACGTATCAACGTTCCGTTAATTACGGAATCGGTACAAGTCACAGACTTAGGAGCGAACGTGAGATTCGCAATTACCGCGACATCATTATTCTCGATGAGAGGAAACTTTACCCGAGTCTCACTTGGCCGCAACAATCACATCATATTACGGTAAAGAGAATATCTTTACAAATTTGTTTCTTTTTAATAAATCTGATATTTCCAGAACATCTATCCACAAAACAGAAGTGATTGAAAGTTATAATCCCTTAATTGATACTTGGCATACTGCAGAGCGAGCATATTCTATTCATGGATATCTTCCGATAAACATTACACTTGGCTTTGAGCAACGCCCGTTTATCTCGTATAATACTCCAAAAGGTATGATATATTAATAACATTTAAATATAAGATTCGTTACATACTAAACACTTTTTAGAACATCTTAAAATGGGTATCACAGCTCATGCCAGAACATCTACTAATATAAAAGGACTAGCCATTAAATCGAAATTAAATCAAATTTGTCCCACTTGTCCTAATTTATACATAGTTACGAAATCGCCAGAGTACAAATCACAGGTAAAGATTATAATCGAAATTCAGTACTTAACTATTTACTGGAATGTGCATTAATTCTTTTATAGACAGTAGATCTATTTCAAGCAGAGTTAGCAGAACTAGGAGGCCAAATGTACGTCAAGCTTTTTGACTGTGAAAGTGTCATATCGCGAGAGAAATTAATTCGAGACGTACTTTCTTCACATCGAGCCAATTATCCGTGGGTATCTGCACATATTTTTATTATTAAAGTAATTAAGGTATCATGAATTGTATTTTAATCTTGTTGCAGTATTTGGCCATTCCTGGAGTTTGCATTTACAGCTCTTCATTTCCTAGATTATTGCACGTACGTACCGCCGAAAGGAAGTTGCGGTGTAGCTGCCTACATTAGTACACTCGACGCGCAACGCACTCAAGTTAGTATATTACGATCTTTTATAGTTTAATATAACGGATTAATAATTTAATGTATTTTTATTAGGTAAAGCTTGAGTACAATAAAAGTCCAAGTTATCACTTGCTATCGTTAACGCGTCGGAATGCGGAATCATCGCAGATTCTTCAACAGTGGAATGTAGCTGCTCTCTATGAGATTACTAGTTGGCTGTCTGATGTGATTAAAATCAAGGCAACTAAACTTGTGCCAGGACAAGAGATTTTAAAGGTAAAGCATGCAGTACTTAGGAAACGGATTGTTCAGTGATTAAATAATAACGTTTCTTACTGTTCAGTTTTGTTTAGAAGCAGAGAAAGAGATGCCTTGGACATGGGATTTCTTAAGTACTAAACCCAGTGATCCTGCCAGGATCTCGTTAAATGCCATTTGGGGATACTCTGATACAGCGAAGGGCAAATGCAATGGATCTTCGATCACATTGAATTTGCTTGGTGAAATCAGCAATGATCAATTACAAGACTCTAAAAAAGTACAGTGGCCCTACGAGGAGTGTCGAAAACAATCTGAAGGAAAGCGCTTTACGCCATACACCGATGCTTGTTACGAGACTTCGAGAGAGTTATCAACTTTGAGGAAATATCAAATCATCGCGCAACATGAAAATGTAAGTTCATTTACAAGTTAAAACACTAACAATTATTTTAATTGTGTGGTTTCAATTAGGTACCAGAACAATTAATAAGATTAGCTTGGAAATTACGAGCTTTTTATGATTTAATCGGTGGAAATAGTAGCGCTTACCCTGTTTCCAAAGGATTCGTTTTAACAGCTACATTTCCCAACCAATTAGATACTGGCGAATTGTCATTGAACAATGATGCAGTAGCTATCGAATATAATTATAATATTATAGATTACTTTCTGACTAGGACCAGAATTCACAAGTACATGGATATGTCAGTTTTAAAAGCTTTCTTTGGTAATCTTCCTTTTTTCGTAATTCGTAATCATATCGCAGTTCATTCTGTACTTGATTATGCTTACTTGAATTGATCAATTCCAAATTTAGGCACATGCATTGTCACACCAGAGTATATTAGATCGATCCACAATGTTACGTATTCGTTCCACAACAAACGGGAAGTCTTGTTGTTTGGCCAGTGCTACCATGAGAATCCAAAGTACGCGCTAACGGCACAAAATGATTTATACGGTGTCAATGTCAATATATACGATGAAATAGACACAGTGCGAATTGTACCGAATCAAACCGGGGGTACATTGTACAATAAGACGATGTATATTTCAATTCCACAAAGTTTTATGTTTCACTCTCTGGGTACGAAAAGGTAACGTATAATAATGTACAATATGACGATTATAAAAATGAAAGTTTTATAGCGTATGTTTTACACAGAATTATATTTCAGGGTGAGATTGGATAGTAGTACTATGGATGTAATAGTTCCTAATCTCTATTTATACATGCATTGGACGCAAGAGCAGATTCTTTTATTCTTTCCAACGTATCTTTTAGAATTTAGCTGCGGATTATGTGCACTACAAACTTCGAATACTGATAATTTATATGAGAAAGTATGATGTATTACTTATTTATAATAAGTTTAGCGTTTAGCATGATTAACCTCCTGTCCAGATGATTTGCTTCAACTGAGTATATCATTAAACATTAAGAGATTTTATTAAAGGAAATGTACGGTTTATAAATATACTTTAGATCGAAAGTATTTCTTCAGGTATAAAATTAGAATGAAGTAAAAGTATAAGGAATATCTACAAACTCTGACAATAAAGGCATTCATTTATAAAGTAATCCATTTATTTAATGAAAAATATGAAATGTATGAAAATGGTAAAAACATATAAACACAAATTCACTGTTCAGGTAAATATCACAAAATACAAACTTTCTTACTATCTATCAAATGTACTTATTAATTAATATAAATCACACAGGAACATTATGCTTTGATTATTAAATTTACCTTGTTGCTAGACATACATCTAAATGTTCGTTCATTAGAATGTCTGTTATTAGCTGCATACAAACAGGACAAGGATATTTATGATCCTGCTTTTTCGGTTCTTCCAAAACCAATGTTTTGTTATTATCAGTTTCCATTAGTAAAGTTGACTCATCATGGTTGTTCGATTTTTCAAAAAGCAATGTTTCGTTATTATCAGTTTCCATTAGTAAAGTTGACTCATCATTGAAAACATTTCCAATACAATCCTCTAAATGATCATTCAACGATGTTCCAATAGGAATAAGTTGATTGCACACTAAACAAGAGTGTGTGGTTTTAATGATTGTATCAAATTTCATTGGAGAAGAGCGAAAATCTTTACTTCCTGCAAGAATTGGAGAAGTAGATAAAGGATCATTGTTATCAAAAGGAATATTTCTGTTCATATTCTCTTCATCATCTATTATAATAATGGAATTATTTCGTTCATCTTTTTCTAAGAGGCACTTATCAAGATGTTCGTTTATATCAGCGAGATCGTAATTTTTATTGCAAATAGGACAATTTGCTTTCTTAGAACCGCACACTTCATTATTTTGGTTTCTGCACAATTTTGGTTGCGTGCATGGACATGCGTCCGTACTATTTTTTCTCTTTTGTCCTATCAAAGAATTACCTCGTCCTTGGCAATTAACGTCATTATTTCTATTTTTTTCTTTAGTTTCAGTACTTTTATTCGTTCTCATTAAACAAGAATCCACATGTGTGTTTATTTCATCGTCTGATACAAACTTACTGCACACTGGACATTCTACCAATTTGTGTTTTATTTGTATGTCATTTGATCGTTTAGTATTAACAACTGGTCCAGTTTCCATCCCAATCTTAACGTTTATGTTCACGTTTATATTAGTCGATGAACTGAAGGTTTTCTTCGATAACGCAGTACTAGTAGGTGATCCATTATTGTTATACAGTTTGTCCAACAAATTGCTGCGTCCTAAATTGGAACCACCAAGAACTCCTGAACGGGAGACTGATGGTCCAGTAGGAGTTTTAGTATTACTGATACTACTATTCTTTTGCAAACTATTTGGACCTCCTGTACCCCAACCGTGAACATTGTTCGTACCATTTCCAAGCTTCTTGAACGCATTTGTATTTGATTTGATATTAGTTGGAGTGAACGTTGCTTTCTGTTCAGTTTTAGATGATGGAGTTTTTAGAAGCCAATTAAGGACATCTGATGTCTTGTCGTTTTGAATAACAGGTTTTTCATTTGGTTTATTTTTTGAACCTTTTCCTTTGTAGTTCTCTGGCTCTTTAACCTTAATATACTGACCACCACAATTATACTTATGTTCCTGCCACCAAAAATCATTCGGCCCTGGTGCGCGATTCATGGATCTACGTACCATTCCAAAATATGGAGCTCTCTTTTGGCAAGGACCATTACATCTCCACCAATGTTGCTGATACAACTTTACCTCCTCATGAAAGCTGTGATATATAGTTATTTTGGTTCCAGCTTCTCTATTTATCCTATCCATATGTTTGCAGAACTCTGGTCCATGTCCATCTCTGTCCCTATTGTTATTTGTCAGGAATAGATACCCGTGAATCATTTCATGTAATAAAGTTTCAATTAAATCTTTCCTCGGCCTGAGTTTTAATAATGGTGCGCTTAATGAGATTACACATTGTCGATTTCTAGGATGAAATGTACATACGCCAGCGCAGCTGGTCATTCGAGCACTCCACCTGACTTCTACAGGCAACAAAACATTCCAAAAGTACTTTTGATTAAATTGCATAAAGAGCGTATGAACATTAGGTGTTGGATCGATCAGTTCTAGAGTCTGATCAATTAACGTCCTTGGTTTATAATTTTCTTTACCATTCTGCAAAGAGATCACAAAATTATTATATTACAAATATCTATTTAGAAATATGAAATAAGGAAGGAGACCTACGTCTTTGGGTAAAACTGCATTTTCGGTTATTCCGAGGCAATGTTGTTCCTGGTGTAATTTATACGCCAGTTCAAGATCACGAAATTTCTGCGATCCGATCATTATTTAGACTAATATGAATATATAAGAAAACTAATTATATTTTACTAAATAGGAACTAAGTTTACACAACAAAATATTGAAGATCTGTTACGTAAAGCACATGAATATGTCATCACTTTATTTCGAGAACTGTTACATTTTCAAACAGAATGAAATGAAACGGATCGTCTTGACATTTCTAAACAAAGTCGAGTTCTAAGCTACTAGTGTCGTTGACATTGAGCGGGAATATAAAATGTTACATTTTCAAAAATCTTCCCATAGGTCGTCCGTCCATCATGACTGCATAATAAAGACGATCCTAATCAGTGTTCTTGCGTATAATATAAGATTCCGTGCTATCGGATTCACTTAACGAATATAAAAATTAATTAGGCACGTAATTATCGCAGAACGCATAAATGATATCCCGTTCTTCTGATTCATTTAATTCGTGGCTACGTCGGCTACGTCTTTCATCATGCCACACGTCAGCAGTGTGCGCCCTCTGCTCGTGTTCTCGTATTTGTATATATGATGTGGATGGAAGATCGGCTTATGTAAAAATTGTATTAGGTTAATCGTACAGCACATAACGTATCAAAATAATTCACCAAAATGGTAAGCGCTCGTTAATTATCGAATTTAGATCGTTGACAGTATATGCGAATCTCAACAGACGTCTATCTCTATAACGTTACTGTACGGGTCGCCACAGATGTCAATCACTGCTCGTGGTTCTTACAGAAATACGTAAAAAAATTGAAATGATTCCCAGGCTTAAATTGCTTCTTATTCTTTTAGGTACTTATTGCTGCAGCGGTCTGTACGAAAGCAGGCAGAAGTAAGTACTGATCATTCTCTTTGACCGCACCTGTTTACGCGTGTGTGTGTTACATACTTCCAACACGCATGATTAATTATTTAATTGTCAAGCTATCATTACGTTTTTAATAACTACGCAAATCGTCAAGTCCTGTTTTATTCAATTGAATTGTGTAGTATATTCTATATGAGGTCCATATGATTTGTATAAATTTTAGCAATTATTTCTCGCCAATTTGTGGAAATGACAAAGGCCAGAATAGAAGGTCTACTTGCTGCATTTCCAAAGCTGATGAGTTCTGGCAAACAGCATACATTTGTAGAAACAGAATCTGTAAGATATGTTTATCAACCCTTGGAAAAATTATACATGCTACTAATTACAACAAAAGCTAGTAATATATTAGAAGATTTAGAAACATTGAGGCTCTTTGCAAGAGTTGTAAGTATGCCAACTAATTATTCATGTCCATCTTTATACAGTTTTATATACATAATAGATTTTTAGATTCCAGAATATTGCAATTCGATGGATGAACTTGAAATAGCTGAAAATGCATTCAATTTGATATTTGCTTTTGATGAAATAGTTGCATTAGGATATAGAGAAAGTGTTAATCTAGCACAAATCAGAACGTTTGTGGAAATGGATTCACACGAAGAGAAAGTTTATCAAGCTGTAAGAATGACGCAAGAAAGGGAGGCTAGAAACAAGATGCGTGAGAAAGCGAAGGAATTACAAAGACAAAGAATGGAAGCAGTTAAAAAAACTGGTGTCAAGGGTTCTGGATTCGGCAATTCCTATGGAAGCAACTCTAGTAACTTTAATCAGACTCCGAGTGTAGGAGATTCAGCTAACTTATTACTAGAACCAGTCAAACCATCGTATACTCCAACACAGTAAGATATGCTTCGACTTTGACATAATATCAAAATTGACAAGTTTTCAAATATCACTATTTCGTGTGTAGAAAGCCTGTTAACTCTGGGCCGGGTACAATGAAGTTAGGAGGGAAATCTCATGATGTTGATTCATTCGTCGATCAGTTGAAAGAAGAAGGAGAGAACGTTGTATCAACACCTTTACCTCCAGCGGGTTTAAAATCAGCACCGATCACGCAACAGATAATCAATACCGAACCGTAAGATAATAATTAATTCCGTGTATAAGCACGGTCGATCGTTTTTGCATAAATGTTTCTTTCGTTTCAAGAGTTCATTTGCGACAAGAAGAGCGCCTCAATGTACGAATTAGTCGCGACGGTGGTTTGCAAAATTTCGAACTGCACGGTTTAATAACGTTACACATTTCTGATGAAAAATGGGGTAGGATTCGCGTACAATTGGAGAAGAAAGATTTGAAGGGGATCCAGTTACAGACACATCCGAATGTAGATAAAGACTTATTCAGGACACGTGCACTAATAGGTTTAAAAATCCCTGCGAAACCATTCCCATTGAACACTGACGTCGGAGTACTAAAGTGGAGATTGTACGCTCAAGATGAAACAGCAATACCTATTTCAAGTAGGACTTCATCAATTGGAAATTATATACTTTACGTAAAAACAGAATTTTTATAACATGATTCTGATTATTTAAAACAGTCAATTGTTGGCCATCTGAAAACGGAGAAGGCGGATGCGATGTGAACATAGAGTACGAATTAGAACAACTTAATCTCGAATTGAACGATATTCAGATAAACATTCCATTACCGATTGGATGTAATCCGATTGTTAGCGAATGCGATGGACAATACACGCACGAACCGCGACGAAATATGCTCGTGTGGTCTCTGCCAGTGATTGATTCATCGACAAAGTCAGGCTCAATGGAATTTTCAGCTCCATCTTCCACGCCTGCAGACTTTTTTCCTCTTGCCGTGTCATTTTCATCCAAAACGTCGTACGTCAATATTAAGGTACGTTATACGTAATAAAAAATATTGTACTTTTATGTCAGCACATGTTTAGATAATTAAACAAGCATTATGCTTTACAGGTATCTGAAGTTTTGCTTGTTGAAGATGAGAGTCCGGTTAAGTTTTCATTCGAGACAGTTTTCTTTACTGATAATTACGAAGTGGTGTAAAGGTATCTATTAAACGATAAAATATAAATTTAACTACTTGTGCTAAATATGTGCAAGGAAAAAATGAAGCAGTGTCCATTGGTATTAATTACCATCCAGGTTACAATCTTATTTTTACATGATCGTTATTTTTTACCACGGTTAAATGCTTGAACGCAGCGATTTCAACCAATATATTTATACACTTTACTCATGGAACAATTCTGTTCTACATGATATGTTTAACGTGGAATTATTCAAGGAAATTCTATGCAGATATTTTATAATTGGTAAAGAATGGAAATTTTACAAAGTACACTTATTCATCGATGTACAAGTCTTTCATTTTATTTACATATTTTTTTAAACCGAGCAACTCCTAAGTTTTGTACAATTGCAAAACTGTTTAGTGAAGTGGACAATGATATGTCATTCTAGTAAAGTTACGATGCTACAAGTCTTTTTTAATCTGACGGAAGTGCAAATATTCGATTGTTATACATACGTTAATCTATTCCCTCAATTGTAATCGATGTCAAACAGGTGTTCAATTATATGCGTGAAAGCAAAGTGTAAAGAAATATTTAGATACAAATTAATTTTGTATAAGTTCTTTCGCTATTTCGAGTTTTTGCAGATTTAATATTTTATCAGACAAGGGGTAACGTTACTGTATGCGAAACAGAAATATTTTTTCCTATGCATACACGCGGACGTACAT